GAGAAAAATACGGAATTATTTTAATTTTACTTAAAAGAAGTAAGCCAAACCCAAAAGATTTAAAATGAAAAGCAAATTAATTTATTTTTTATCTATTTTGTCTGGGAAATGCATTATAACAGAAAAAAAATTGTGTAAGGTTTTTTAGAAGGAAGGGGGGGGGGGGTTAAACAGAGTAGAACTTTACATATAATTAATTACTAACAAATTCTTTTGAATTAATGTACATTTAAATTTATCTTTTGATATATATTATTGAAATTGCAATTTTACTTCAGTATACATGTAACAAGGGCAGATAAGTGAAGAGTTTCATATGATTCTCATATGATCACGGTCAAAACATTCGTATGAATTTTACCTGAGTATAACAAGGACAAATTAGTGAGCATTGTTTCATATGATTCTCATATGATCAGTTTCATATGATTCTCATATGATTATTGTCAGAATATACATATGACTCTCATATGCAGGATCTTCCATATGAGAATCATATGTATATTACTTCATATGATTTACATATGTGTACTCATATGATTCTCATATGATTTGTCACATATGATTCTCATATGATTGCATATACATATGATTCTCATATGATCTACATATGATCCTCATATGAAAGGCAATGCATATGTGGATCATATGTGGCTAAATTGCCTATGAATATATACACTGTATTAGAGAATATCTTGCTTTAACATATTTTTAAAAAAAAAACAGTTTAATATAAGCATATTTATTTCCAACAAGTTTATTTTAAAATTAAGACTTCTACACATTTATTTATTAGTCATCTTATTCATTTTTTTCCATTAATATGATATTTCATTTTTATATTTTTTTTTTAATAATTAGAATTATTCGCATTTAAGTTTATATATATACACATGATTACTGATCATAGATTCTAGATTTCAAAGACATTTATAATAGATAGTTTTCGATAAACCAGAATTTAGCGAGAGTTATTTCCCTTTGACCGCCATATTGGAGGTCCAAATGCTCATATTCCTTCATTGTTCAACCAATCTAAAAAATTTATATTTGCTATTTTGAATCAGAAATCATTATTTTTCTGAAGTATATAAATTTTTGAAAGCCTCCTTTATTTAAAAAAAAATATTTAAGATTTTCCACCAAATATTTCTGCTACTAACTCTTAAACTTGGTAAGACAAAGAGGGAAAATCACCCACTCGACCTCCAATATGGCGACCAACGGGAGGTAACTCTCGCTAAAATCAGGCCTATCGAAAACTATCTATACCATACAATGTACCTTTCATTCACATGCATTTTTAAAATATCTGTGATACAAAGTACCGGTATATCAAAATTAGCACTTAAAATTTTTAATAAATTTTAAAAACTGCACAATATAGAAAAAAGAATTTCCATTTACAAATTTGAAAAAAAATGAGAAAGATTTTTTTTATTTCTTCATAATTAATAATTAATTTTAATAAAATAATGTAGAAAAAACGGCATTTATTTATTCAAAATTACTATTCATTGCAATATCAGCATTTGATAAGTAAATTTTAACCTATTTCTTGTGGTTAATCTTAAACAGACTATAGGTCACCTGTAATTAATTTCTTTTGTTCTCTCCCTCCCCTTACCTGTACACCATTCCCACCTAGCCGAAACCAGTCACCTGTAACATTTTCAGAATTTTGGCTGAGTAAGAAGACACCAGAAATATAGCTCTACATCAAAGATTACAAATACACTATAGATAAACATAAATTAGCGCTCTCAAAATTATGCATTTTTTAATATGAAAAAAAAACTTGATCACAAAAAAGTCAACCTTCAATAACCATTTTTACAATCATATAATGTAATTCTGTTTGTATTCTAGCCTCTGATTAGTTGATATCTAAAAGGAAACACAAATTATTTCTGTATAACTTGATTTGTTATGGGGACACACATCCTGATAACTAGGTGAATCATCTGTTTCTATGCAGACTTCCTATTCTAGTCATCGGAATTCATGGAAAATTCCAGATTTAATAAATGAACCTTTCACCTCAAATAGTAACTCGATCTTACAACATGCAAACAAACAACTTGGCTGCTAGGCCTATGTATCAGTTTTTACCTCCCCTCTTTTCTCATCACATGCGTTACTACAGTTGTATTATTGAGCGGCAAATTTGAACTCGTAAAAAGCAACGGAATTTTACACCCACAGCTGTTAGATTTAAATTAAATAATAAGAAATCATAAGGAATATATAAGATAATCCACGAAGCGGATTATACATGTAAAACAGCGTAAACTTATCCGAAGCAGGTCACCGTATATACTCACCTATAAATCGGTATTTTGGGAGTTAAATTTTATTTCAAAACTCTATGTCCGACTTAGAGGCGAGTCATAAAGATATTTGTATTTTTCTGTAAAGTGAAATGCATAATTCCATGTATATTTGAGACAATTAATACTGAATAACAAAGTCTATATATGTTTAATCGTTTATTCATTCAAAGATAATACATATAGTACAAGTATTAATTTATTATAATGGTTTTGTAACAGGGGTCAATTGTGTATCCTGACGGACAATCGCATTCTTTAATAAGCACATGACACCTGCGGGTTCGTTTGATGATTTTATTGTTGCATGGTATTATCAAGAGATAATATACTGGTTATATATCATACCCTGTAAATATACATATAAATAATATTAGTACAGTTTTATATAATCAAAATGACAATTCTATAAACATACAATGTATTCATAAAATCACAATGCATTAATTCTTACAACGCATACTTTGAAAGAGTTATTCCCCTTTACACAGCATTTTATAAAAATCTACATATATTCTTGTACAATTCATGTATATTCCTTTGAAACAGAAGTGTTTAAAGTTCATTATTACAATCATTAAGTGAATTCTAAGTCCACTTCTTAATTAGGAATATATAAAAATGATAAGTACATTTGTAAAAATATGAAATGTACCTGTTTATGGAACAGAGTGCCTGGTACCTTTGATTTACATTACTCCAGGAACTGTATCATTGTTTAAACTGTAATAAAATAATTTCATTCACTCTCAACTCTTACACACTCAATATTTCTTTAATTTATTAAGTTCAGATAAATTCACACACTTTGAAATATATTTCATTAATAAGAAGTAAATTAGTTACTTACATATAAGTAGCTGGTAACCAGGTCAAATTTAAATTAAGTTAACTGTTTGTAAGATATTTAGGAATCTAAGTCTTTCCAGTCTGGAATCAATAAGCTGAATGTCTTTGTCTGTTGTCCAGAATTTGGAGGTAAAAGTCTTGACCAATAGGATTTAAGGAAATTGAATTCTACTCAGCTTATTACAGGTGTAGAAATAGAAAGGAGTGGATCTAAAGTTTTAGCTGATTGTTTATTTTATTTCATTTGGTTTGTTTTATTTAATTTTTAAAAAGTATTTTATTTGTTAAATTATTTAAATGAAAGGTTTCAATATTTGAGTTTAAATTATTTGTTTTTGGTCAATATTAATTGACACACATATTTAATACATTCACTTCAGAGTTTAAAATCAGTTGTGGCATATTATATTCATAATGTATAAGTAATAAATTATACATTTGAATATTATAATAATTAAAACAACATAAAACTAATCACTATTACAGTTTAATTTATTTTTGCATTTATTATTTGTAAATGATTTAAAACTAAATAATACTGGCGTTATTTTGAAAAAAAAATTATAAATTAAACAGCTAAAAACATCAGTGAATTGATTTATAATGTCAGATGATTCTGGCAAAAAGTTATAGCAACTTATAGGCGGGTCAATGGCAAATCCCTCCAAATTAATTTAAAAAATACAACGGACTTACAGGCGGACCGACTTATAGGCGAGTATATACGGTATCCTCGAATAATTTGGCCAAGAACTAGAGTCATTCCTAAAGAAGAAACATGTTCTTGAATTAATTTATTTTTTTAAGACCATTTCGAAATCCATGGAGATTGAGGAAGAAGGCACGAAGAAAAAAATGGATGCACTTAAGGTTTTCAGTGCTTCCATAAAATACTTAAGGGATCATATGGTTTCTTCTTGCAAAAGTAAATTCCCAGAAATTGAAGAAGAAGATATTCTTTGGATCCTAACAGTTCCAGCCATTTGGACTGACGCAGCAAAGCAGTTCATGAGAATGGCAGCAGAACAAGTAAGTACTAATGTTTACTGATAGAAAAAATAATAGTGAATCATAAAATAGCAATACGCCAACTCTGACGGACAGCTCAGCAGACCAAGACCAGTCTCAAAGATGTCCCTCATCGGTACGAGCAGTCCCAGAAGCCTCAGAGCTGTGCCATTACGATGGTAGATCAGTCCAATCCAAGCAGTTCCAACAGTCCCAGTGCAGCCCCATAGCGGCCTTACGGCGACGCCACAGGTCAACGTAAGTTGCCCCAGTGGGCAGGTATAACAGTTTCAATGGGCGAAGCCTAGCTTTACCTTAAAAAAACACATTGTATTAATAATACCATTTTTATGATAAGTTATCTTTTTTAAAAAATAAATGATGCACTTCTTTTTTATGAAGAGACTATGTTTATTAAATAATGATGAACATGTAGCACAATATCTCTTTTTTTCTTCCGAAACTATTGGCATTTATAAAATTTCTATGAGAAATCCCAGTTGTTTTTCTTTATTTAACATCTCCACTGAAAAACAAAACTAAAAAAAGGAACCTGCAAATTCAAAATAACCAAGGGGTGCTATTTTACGGTAAAGTATATAGATATTGATATATGTATATCTGAAACACTCTGTTATACAGCAGTTTTGATGAATATAAAGCTCAAAACATTTTTTATTAGGCAGGGATTTCCTCTGAACGGTTGAAAATAGCTCTGGAACCAGAAGCCGCTTCCATCTACTGTAAATATTTGCCAATGGGAAATAGAGGAAACACCTTCGAGCCTGGATCAAAGTACATGGTTATTGATGCAGGGGGTAAGTTTTGTGTTTCTGTCTTCTTTCTTTGAATTTTTTTTTTCATTTTTTTTTTGTAATATCAATTAGTTCCTTTTGATAAATACATGTATGTGCCTTTTAGAGAAAATGAACTAGGTATAATAGAATTATGCCAAGTGGATAATAATACTTATCAGTTTAAACTAGTTCTTGTATATTATATACATGCAGAACTATTGATAGAATGTTTTGTAAGATTTTTCAAGTCCAAGGAAGGCGAGGCATTTTTTGAATCGATCACCAATACAAGCATTTTTACCGTATTTGAAGCAACTACTAATCATCTTAACACCAATAATAAATGTGAGCATTGAGTAATGTCCGCCTATAGAATTAAAAAGGATTTTATGTCGCAGTTATGATAAGGATGTCCGAAGGCTTAAAATGTCGACAACAAAAAAATAAACATTTTATTTTGAGCTAGATTTTAATTTCAATAAGTTATACTTGTTTAAAATTGCAGTCAACTTGAGAGAACAGTTTTAATCAGGTATTATAATAAAGCATTTCTGTGATGTCAAATGACTGTGTTGATCACGTGACGGGCATTTTGATATTCTTCAATGTTGCACAAAAATCGCATCGGCACAAGAGCATAACACAATTATTGTGCAAAGTTTGTTACATAGATTAATTCATCGTGATCTATGGTACGTAAAAAGTGCTGGGGGCAGGTTTAATTTTTTCTTCTCCAGAAAATATTTTACGATGAATCAAAATTACAAACGTAAGAAGGGGTATTTTCCACTCTTTATCGCGATTTATACAAAAACGGATAAACTACATACGAACCCCCAGCAAAACTCAGTTAGAAAACATACTTTTGTTTTAGATTCACGCAGAATATCTTTAATTTATCCTTGTCTTTGACTTGTGCTAGTCCAATATAAACACGGTTCATAAATTCTAACTCTGTCTACGGAAGTGTAAGGGGAGCGTTTAAAACATACTTTTTTGCTATTGCTTGAATATATATGCATATCGGACAAGCAAAAGGAATAGAGATATTTAAATATCAAATGTTAAACATCATAACAGCACACACAAGCTTAAAAATCAAATCCTACTTTTGAATTAAACACAAATCCCCATAATAAATCCACATGCCGTGTAATAATTATGACACTTTCCCCGTCATGACAGCTCAAGTATGCACTGACTTGACATCATATTCTATTATGACGTCATATCTAGGTAGTTCAGAGAAGTTTCTACAGTTTGAATAGTTTGATATTTTACGGACAGCCTTATTCAGCTGCGGTGCAAATTTCCTTCATTCTTCATCTTGTTTGCTGATTACTTTTAATAATTAAAATTTACAAATATCTTATCGTCGTTGATTACATGTGTTTTCATCGTTACAAATTTTGTGTATGTAATGTCTGTTTATAGGTGGGACCATTGATATAACTGTACATGAAGTACAAACGAACAATTCTTTGAAAGAACTCTACAGCGCAAATGGTGGACCTTGGGGTGGAACAAACGTTGACGACGCCTTGCAGAGTCTGTTAACAGATATTTTTGGAAAGGATGTAATGCAGGAGTTTTCGAAATCTCAAAAAATGGATCAATTAGATCTTTTCAGAGATTTTGAAATCAAGAAGAAAACTGTTAAACCAGAATTTAAGAAAGATGAGTTTATAACTTTGAGAGTCCCACATAGCCTGTCCAGTCTTTATTCTGTTTTAAAGGGAAGAGATATTTCTTCAAGCGTTCAGTCAAATGACAAATATAAAGCAAAATTGAAATGGTTTGGAGAGAAATTGAGAATGGAACCCGGTATAACAAAAGCATTGTTCGACAAAAGTTGCAACCAAATCGTTAAACATGTGCAGTCAATTCTTTGCGAAAACGCAATGAGAGATGTCGGAACAATCTTATTAGTAGGATGGTATGCAGAGTCTCTAATGTTGCAGAAGGCTATAGAAACAAACTTCAATCAACTTAAAGTCATTCCAACACCAGAAGCGGGTCTTTCTGTTTTGAAAGGATCAGTTATTTTCGGCCACGAACCAGATGCAATTTCATCTAGGGTGAGCACATACACATATGGCATACGTACAAACGTAAATTTCAATCCAAGTGAACATCCTGAAAAAAAGAAAACATTAGTAAACGGAATTGAAAAATGCAAAGATATTTTCAATATTCATGTACGAGTTGGTGAAACAATGCACGTAGGTGAACCAACAACTTCACAAACTTATGTCCCACAAAATCCCGATCAAAAAACTATAGGGTTCACAATATTCACTTCACCATGTAAAAATCCGAAATTTACCACTGACCAAGGATGTCGCTGTGTGGGCTATTTGCGATTATATATGCCAGAAACTTCGAAGGACACTGAAAAAGAAGTTGATGTCCAAATGACATTTAGTGGGACAGAAATAGAGGTATCTGCGATCGACAAAATCACCAAAAAAGCTGTCAAGACATCGGTAGATTTTTTACATTAAGGTTGATACACAAAATTATGCGAACATTGTTAATTTGTCGGAAAAAAAAAATATAATACTACTTTCCGTATGAATATCCGTATGAAGTACTCTAGATCACTTTACTCGGATCACGACAGAAGTGACTGGTCAACAGGTTTAATAAATCGTAATCCTCCTAGAACCTAACTTGTATCTCACTTATCGGGTACTAGTGGTCAATTTTTCTCCTAAGTTCAACATTCATTTAGTTTACTAAATCTATAAAATTGAACAAATTTCTATTAAATTTACATTTTACATGGGTTTCATGAGCACAAAATTTACAAAATTCAATTACATAATTTATGTAATTAGGAACAAGATAATTTTACGTTAATATTTAACCTTCATCCATTTTAGAGTTACTGCATGAATTTGAGTAAAGGTTTTATAAGAGTATGCAAAATTTGTCTAGATTACTGTTACTGAATAATTACTTTATAAAACATAAGCCTCTCTTTTAACTTGCATAAAAGTAAATGGTTAACACACTGGAGTAAAAAAAAGTTATATTAAAAGTAACCGGAACATACATACGTATATTTCTGAAGCATTTATGTTACACTCCAATATATATCCTTTCGAAGTCTTTATGCTGCTTCTTCTTTTCATTGCTGATTGTAAAACTGCCTATTTCAGAAAAAATTGCGATGATTTGTTTTACAATAGTTTTTTTTTAAATAAAACATAATATACATATGCGTACCATAAATTAAAGCAACAAGGGAGGCAAAAGAACAAAATGAAAGACACAATAATCTTTGTACAGTGTTCATTACAAATTTAAAAGAAAATATCTGATTGAAACAAAAGTTTCAAAAAAACCAAATTTCAGAGAATGTTTTTAACATCTTGTACAAATCAATGGCTTATTAAAGGCTGTACTTCAAATCCTTCGAGAGAACCTCTTAAAAAGATAAGATAATATCATATGAATTAAACTTATAATATCATCAAGAATACATATTATACGAGGTGAATATATATATTAAGTATATCAATAGAAATCAAAGATAAAATGATAATAGTGGAGTTGCAGACCGATTACTCTTCAAAGGAACGTCTGGAAAGGAAAAAAAGACATACTTTTTTATTCTTAAAAATAGTTGTTCTGCAGAATTAATCGTTGTGATTTGAAAAGACGGATACGTTTCTTTCAAGAATCATACATTACGATATACATTACAGATTTGGTATTATCAATTTTTCCTTGATAATTTTTATTTGTATTATTCTTATTTTTTTTAAAGCTTCATCAAAGAGAAACAGAATTATATACACTTTATTGATGCAGAAATTTGCTTCATGTATTGTATTGAGTATTAAAACGTCTTAAATATACCTTTAGTGATGTTGTTTTCCTTTTCTCGATCTAAAACATGATTGGGGGGATCAAAAATGGAAAAAATGAATTTTAGATTGGAATTCAAATTTGAAATGTATTTATTTCTTATACATAGGCAATATATACACGTGGAAAGGAATATAATTAAAAGGTAGGGATAAGATGCAACAACTTTGCATTCAAAAAATTGACACATATTGCACGTGAAACCAATAAATTGCTATGTAAAATATTAAATGCGATCGTTTGATTTTATTTCTTACTTTCCATTTTAAAATGTTTCACTCATGTAGAAAGCCTACCACAAGGCACTTTAGATGAAGTTCAAAAAATTATATATATACTTAGGACAGCCGAGACAACAACGGATTGAGTCCATTATCATTATACTTATTCCATAACAAGGAAGCTAATTGCTCCATCGTGTGTGTGTGACACAATCCACTAGTAACTGCACTCACATCATTTAATCATATTGTCTTATATTTGTAAAAATTTGATAGGTCTTCTAATATATAATACATTTGAATTCACTCCCCCGTTTAGCTACTTGATAATACATGGAATCAGTACACATCACCAATTTCGTACTGATCTTCCAAGTAGTCGTCTGCGAACACAAGAGTTTGTCGGAGAGCTGTAAGAGCCAGGATGTTGATGGTCTCTTGTAAACGGGTCTCCTTCTCGTAATTCTTCACGGGGAAAACATGTGACCTGGGTACGCCAATCATCTCAGCAACCTTATCCACGGCCTGTTTACATGTATTACTGAGGAAAAGCTTTGTCACATCTTGATCGACATTTGGACATATTTTATCCAGTTTGGTCAGGTAAACTGTTTGTGGAATACCTAGTTGAATAATTTTTTTTTTAGATTTAAGATACTGTAAAAACAAATATGGAGAAAATTTTAACAACAATTTTACAATGTAATTACTTTATAAAGTACCTGTCATAGAATTAAATTCGTTTTTGCTATAGAGTTTGAAGATATTATATGAATTACCAAGAAAGCATTTACCTCTCTCGACAATTATGTTTTGAATCTCTTTAATGTGATGAAGTACTGCGTCAGTGATGACGTCAATAGTACTTGCATCTATAACAAAAGTCACACAGTGGATTCTATCTTCAATCTTGGGATTTTTCAGAAAACCTTGTACTTTGGGCGTAGCGTGTGAAGCTGGATTAAACTGCAAACAGATGAAAATATCATCAAAATTAAACTGCAAAACTTATTATCACCATAACAAATTAAGGCAGATTAAAACATGTCAAACAAAAGTATTAAATTAGCATATTTTGTCACCTGATAATGTTCAGGAATATGTCCATCTAGAACATAGGCGATATCCTGGGTATGAACACCAAAACTCTCTTCCAGTCCGCGAGTGTCACACAGTTTTAAATTTAAATAGCGACCTGTACCTGGATTCCGAATTCTGTATTTTCTAAACTACTTAAAATAAGACAAAAATAAAACAATGTCTGATTATCTAATGTTCCATCAAATTTATAAGGACAGTTCATCCTCTGGAAGAAATAATAATCAAACTTTCCATTAATTAAACTATTAGAATAAAGCCAAACATTTATAATATCATTGATAAATGTATATTGAGGAGGAAACAACTTCACTATGAGTGAAGAAACTAAATAAAGAAAATGAACAATGAAGGGGAATTTAATGGAATAATCTAAGAAAGTGTTAACTGTTTTTTAAAACACTCACCGTTTTTGTCAAGCTGTGATCAGAGCTTCCTGTACATGCGCGGGATGTTATTTCCCCTCTGAAAATTGAGTTAATTGTGTTGAAAAAACTAGATTTTCCAGCTCCAACTTGACCAAGCAGCAGAATATTGACATCTTTCACATTTGAATCTTCAATCGGGTGGTAGCCTGTTACATAATCTTTTAAGGATTGAAAAGACTGAAAAATGAAAGAAAATAAAATCAAATTGCAAATTTTAGTATTTTCCTCGCCAATCTGTTTAACTAGTGTACACTATGGTGTTTAAATCTACATTTTTAGCGTACTAATAATTTTATATATTATGTTGAAGACAAAAAAAGGTCACTGGCTACTTGCATGTAACATATAATTCAAACTAGATGAACATACAAAATGTATTTATCTTAGTTCTAAAATAAAACAAAGAAATTGGTAAAAATTAGAAAAAAAGCTTTTAGTTATACAGGCTCGGGATTTTACTCGGTCTCAAGAACTTGATTCAACAGAAATTAGATACAGATAAATCAATTTACGAGAATATTTATCTGAACTTCTCTTGGAAATCAAATTTAAGTACCTGGACGTTCCAGATCGGCATTTCTCTCCAAGGATGCGAGCTCAAAGTTTCGACCTTTTTTGTTGCACTTTTTACATCTTCTGAAACATAATTAATACACCAAGCATTGTGTCCTGATAGAAATGTGCATAATATATCAAGATTATATTAAGACGAAAATATGTTTTCAATACATTAAGAATTGTAGTAGCTCATAGCAATGGGTTAAGATTCTCGAAGGCATGTATAAGCCTGGGGTTAAGTTCAAGATCGAATATGTTATTGACCAGGTCATTATACCAGAAAAATGTGAAATATGATAAAATAATTCTTCATTGTCTATTTTAAGAGATAAGACTTAATTTTCATTTTTCTTGCTACCGAAAGGACATTTTTCTTATTAATGAAAGAAAGGTTCTTGTAACAAGAAAGACAATTGTATAAGTATGAAAGCCACGACCTACCATATCAAAGTAATGTCCGAGTAATTTTCAAAATAAGGTGAAACTCAAAGGCAAACACTATTGATATTATTGAAAAGGATTTGTTATAGAGAACACGACGTGTTAAACATGAAAGCACACGCATCAACATTTTATTTATACAGACTTACACTTAAGACCGATGTCAAAGTCAATTTCAAAGGCTTAATAAAAAAAGGCTTAAAAATATAATTTTCTGTAAGCATACCTTTGACAAGATAAACCTCCAGATCTATAACCTTGAAATCCCCCTCCGATAATTGACAAGTGTTGGCTTCGAATTTTCCATAACTCAGTCCTAGATCTTCTTGTCCATTGAGGTTAATAAATTGCTGGTTTGGGTTTTGGGCAAATGCCCTTTGTCCAAGGTTATTACCTCCTTGAAACCCCCATTGAAATCCAACATTACTGTTATTATCAAAGAAAGTTCTTAGATCAAAATCTTGTGCAAATTGAAACGGGTTTTGTTTGACAGAAAGCTGAGGTGGCTTACGTTGTCGAGGATCTTCTGAAATCCCTCCAAAGGTTGGACCCCAGGACTTCACCCCAAAGGCAGCCGTTTCTGGTGTGTGAACATTTACTCTTTGTGTAGTGGTTACATAACGTCGTTGCAGTTGGAAAAGAAAAGCGTTGTCGTCCTTAATCGTTGAATTGTTCGAGTTCCAACTACTAGAGAGATACCCCCCAAATACATTTCCGATGGAGTTGTGAAGAACAGTTACCGTAGGGCCTTTGTTATCACACAATCTGTGAAATGTTTGTGCTGACAATCCATCCCGACTTACTTTGTACAATAATTGAAATTGACACGGATTTCCTATCCACGAAGACAGCTGATCTTCTTCCTTCGTATTAAGAATTAATTTTTGCTGGGACCATGCCATCATTAGCTAAAATGCAAATACTGAAGAGAAAATATTTTTTCAAAAGAAATGACTGATTTCTTTTTTTATGAAATAGGGAAACATAAAGAAGATGGAAAGACCTCTTTTATTCTGTACACATTGTTCATATCTCATTTTATCTTTTTATGTTATTTTGCTTTAGTGTGTTGTTTGTGTAATAATTACATAATTATATATAATTTTACTTTATTTTAGGTTGTCTTGTTCATTTTTTCTCCTTGAAAGTATACCACAAATAATTTCTTTTCTTTCCTTGCGATTTACATGATTTACAATATTAAGTATCCCTCATCAGAACAAATCAAAGAAACAAGTTCTTTGGATCACGAAATAGGACAAAAATATGCATTTGTTGTTCCGATTTTATGTCAAGCACAGTATGTTGACGGTCAACGTCCCTTAAGGATTAGTTTGTCAACTAAGGAAAAAATGACCCCTAAAAAGGCAGCAACAGCTTCAATCAATCTTCATGAAAGTTTCCTTTTTGTTAAAACCTATGAAAAACCAGTTTCTTACTATTGTATCAGTAGTTTATATGTTTAAGTCAGAATGTTGTCATTTTTGACAAAAGGATACTTGACCAAATTTAAATTTAAATTTGACCTATATCCTTAGACGTTGTTAAACGAATCATCAACTGAAAACTAAAAAAATCAATTAAAATCATTTAAACTCTCACATAAGGGTTAATATAGTTAAACAAGGTCAGGCAACCGTACTAATGACATAATTTTGTTGTATATGCTGAGGATTTTTAATCACTTTAAGTATTTATTATAAATAATAATGAACATTCGAAAGTCTCCGACGAATTTCAAACTTCCCTTATTTTCATCAACAAATGCCAAGGTTTTCCTATCATTAATATTTTCGTAATTAATTACAAAATTAAGCAAGTGTAATTTCACCTAAAATTTTCAATAGCTTCCGCAGAATAGAATAAGATATTGCAAAACTCCACGAACTTTTGGATCAACCCTAGTGTATATAGACTGTAATTAACATTATACTTTATTATAGCCTATAATGTATAAGTAAAGATACCTAGGAGTGATGAATCTTAAAAAAATGAATAAAGTATAGGAACGTTTATGCATTATCTATTCTAAATCTACTTTGTAAAAATAGCAGACGGAACTTGCCTATGTGAGGAAAACAACATTAAACACTTTTTCAATGTCGATCGATTCTCTTCCGTTGAGTATTTAATGTGCTACATGTAGTAAAAAACTATTACATAATGTTGTTAGCATTAGATTTTAAGATGGTTTTACATTTAATCAATATGCTTTGTTGATATTGCATCATGAGCTTAATTAAGTTTGGTATCGTCAATTATTCTCATGTTTCGATATATTTATTTTTTTGGCCTCATCATTAATTTGAGTCATAAAAGTCCTCTTAAATATTAACTTTGCATCCCCTCATTATCAGGTATTTATTAAAAACAAAAATATTTGCATTGGCAGCACGAGATCGATTCATTTGAAATATTTGTCTTTATAACCAGATACATTGTAACTAGGTTACTCAAACAGCACAATGCTCTGATAAAGGTATATATCTTGATAAAGCTATATAGATTGATCAAGGTGTTACAGATGCCTTGATCAAGGTATTTTTATGTAATAAAAAATTCAAAAACTTCTTTAAAAATTCCATACTGAAAGTCAAATTCTGAATTGTTGTCAGTGTGTCCACTAATGCATGTAAAATACTCAGGAATCAAAAAGACAGCATAAAAGAACGTCTCCCTACATGACATGCTTTTATACTGATTTCTTTGTGTTTGAGTACTTTAAGGGGGATGTACGGCCACCTTTAGTGCAGTGAGAACGAAATGTAAACATTTCTTCAAATGGCTAAAATACATCATATTTTGATCCAATTTTAAGTCTTTATGATAAAGATACAATAAATATGCATAACTGAATGCATGTTGTGCATATATAATCTATACTTTTGCAGAAAAATGCTTTTTATATGCTCCTTAGAACTGCGCAGCTACAGAATTCAGCAAAGCCTTAAAAAATCCAAAAAAATACGCAAACTGTGCATTAATGTTCTCTCTACAACCATTTGTTGAGAAAATGTCTAAAATTTGCACTTTTAAATGATAATTTCAAGTTCAAAACAATGTATCGTTGTTTTCAAAAAGAGTGAAAAGAACCATGAAAGTAGTTCATGGATAGCAGCACGTGGTCTATTTTTAGTACAGAATTTTGTTTTCCAGACCTCTTCTTAATATGGAGGGACATAACAATCTTTAAATGTAGAAGAGAATTACAGTTGCAAAATATTTCAAATAATATGAACACTTTTAAAAGAGGAAATGTGTTATAGTGTTTCTTGAAGTTATTTATTATTTAGTATTATTATCGTACAGTTGTTAAATAGTGTACGTATTGATATTAAAAAAATCTTAAACTCTTTGATTCCAGGTAAGGAAAAATGAGCACCATCAAAGTTAAAAATTAAGAGTTTGTAAGTTTGTCACAGATAATTTATAATATCTATCAAAAGTTTAATTATCACCATTGAAACACAAAGAAATTAAACACATAAAATCGATATGAATGACCTTGTTTTAGTATCTACTAGTACGAGGGGTGATCAAAAAGTTCGCGAACTATCTCGATACATGTGTATCTATTAAAAAAAAATTCAGATTAGAAACAAATTTGGTGCACACATAGCCAAACACAAGTTCTATAAATAGCATATGCTGAATAAAGTTTTGCTCACAATGTGAAAATGACGTCATTATGCAGCTACTTGTGACGAAAAATGGTTGTCTCAGTGGAACTCGGAACAAAGTGGAACAAACGACTAAAATATTTATGGTATTATCTTAAAAATGCCTTTGAAGTAGCGTATAAGAATTTGTTCACAATATATTAAGACAAATGACTTCCTATAAATTCAATCAATGATTGGATAGATCGTTTAAGTGAAGGAAGGCAGATGGTTAATATGATACTTGTTATGTTGCCCGGTGAAAGAAAGTTTGAAAAGGGATGTATTTTTAATTAAGCAATATGCTATCAAAGACCTCCAATTTACACTTTGAAAAATACTTGAATATTTGAAAAATACAACAATAATACAACTATCAAATACCTTAAATATCGTTTACTTTTTGAAAACCCCTCGTATACAATTTCATTACAGCGGAGCAACATTGGAAAAGGAATGAAATCATTCAGCGTGGATTAATGGAAAAAAAACCTTTTTTTCTACTTGCCCATTTTGTCAAAATTACAATTTTACAGAGTAAAGAAAAAAAAATCAACATAATTAAATATTTTATACCATCTTTAAAATGACGTTTGGTGGTCCTCCCAACTCAGGGAAAAATTATTGGGTCGGTATGTATAGGTGAGAAAAAACTTAAAATCTAAACATATTTGTTGACGGAAGAAAAAAAAATCGTGTAATGGGATGTAAAAAAAATTGAGTCTGGCCATTTCTAGGCAGTAGATAGGGAGAGAGGGCAACCAAATATTTTTAAAACAAATGATCTTATAAGGCTAGTACATGTTCCATCACATAAGTAGTAATGAAACTTTGTTGTAAGTAATGTAACTTTTTGAATCTTTGGCACTATTTTGAAAAACAAACATAGGATTTCCGGGGGGGGGGGGGGGCTATAGCCTCTCACTGTTTTTTTTTTTTTTTTTTTTTTGCGATGATAGACATAGCATATGCAATGGACCTTTCTTTGCAAACATTGTTCTTGCTTCTAAATTTCAAAGAAACAGCTTCGTGTGTTCAATGGGCGAGAGCTTACAACATTGTCAACATAATGAGACATGATGCTTTTTTTATGTCCAAACATTACTCCATACAATGTGTGGGTCATTGCAAACAATCTAGCTATTTATGTGAGGTGCCTGAAGGAAATCTTATAACTGCCTATTTTTTTCTGTCTAACTGCTGAACAAAATAGACAATGTACCAACTTTTCGAATGTAAGACATGTAATTACAATTTGTTTTTCATGCACTGCATATTGTTTAACTTTTTTAAATTAAATGCTAAGCATCCTCCTTGCAGTGCCCCATTTGAAAATAACTTCTATCGCCACAGAAAAAAGACCCGACGTAAACACATATGTTTAGGACATTTTTTATCTTTTTTCTTGAGTTTTAAAGAAATCAACAAATTATCAAGACTTGTTCCATGAAAAATTAAATATAATCATGGTCATAAACGCATCTATCCACAGCAGATATATGCACATGCCAAGCACGTGCTCAGTGAAATAATATTAGCTAGGAAATTCGAGCTGTAAACAGAACAGTTTTTTCCCGATTTGCTGGAGTGGGGATAAAATCGCGCTTTTTCATTATTCAGACGATGCAATGCAACAAATAACAGTAGTAAGTAATAAAACATAATGATTATTACTTAGCAATTTCTTGTCTTGATGTTATTATGGTCGCATTTATTCTAAAATCAACGTTATTCGAACTCTGTGTGACAGAGGAATGGCGGACAAAATAAACACATGGCCTCAGGAAGACACCCATATGAAAAATCAAATTTTCAAGAATTATGGATAATGACAAGAAAAAAGCGAAACAAATGGTTGTAGCCATATTATCAATGAATCAAACTAACACCATTTTCAATACATTTTTCATCTCGTGAATGCTGTAGCTGCGCAGTTCTAACATGATTAATTTCCTCCTAATTAAAACAAAATAAACTTAATTATTTACTAATTTTGGACTCTAACAGTAGGTAATTAGTGCATTAACACTTTGAGTAACTTTGGGCTAGTTTAGAAGTGTATTAAGCGCATTCTTGGTATTTCTTATTTTACACCAGACTAGATCCAATATGGCTTGTACATCCCCCTTAAATGCATGAGAGAATTTACTGACAACAAATCAGAACTCGACTTTTTATATTTTATTTTTACAGATATTTTTTTTAAATTGTCATTACATAAAATACCTTGACAAAGGTATTTGTAATACCTTGATAAAGCTATATAGCTTTATCAAGCTATATAAAGCTATATACCTTTAATTGTGTATTGTTCTGGACCTGTTAAAATTGCAGAATGCTAAATAATGCCTAAAAATTCGATAATCGATTGAATTTGTTCCATGCAAGTGACATGAAATAAAAAATACATCATCAAGCTGACATTGTTTACCTTTCTGAAAGATATCTAGTTCCCCGATAGGCCTATTTTTCTTTGAATAACTGCATTTTCACTTTCATTTTAAAAATACGGAAGCTCATTCATAGTCTCGTTCAACCAGACGCTCGGCTGTCTCCGTAAACTCCGACCAGCAGAGAGTCTGGTAAAGAGTCACATAAGCGTTTGTTACCGTCAGAGGGCGCTATCTTGTTTACATTTTGACGACTTCTTTTTGAAACGAATATTAGACATGTTTTTCCTGTTAGATTGTGAGTTTATATTAATAAATTGATCTTTAAAATTGGACATAACAACGAGTAATTACAATATCAGTCGAAGAAATATGTATTCCGCAGGTAGCTACACTACTTTCACTTTAGCTTCCGTACAAAAATAATACATGATATCTTTTTCAAAGACACTTACCTATAACCCGTTCAAATTACCATAAATAATAAAATTATTCCTCTTTAACTGCTA